ACTATGGTGTTTTCTTCAAGCTGGCCTTCCGCTGGGATTCCTGCTGCAGCCGCGCACGGACGTGCCAGCCGGTGGAAAAGCCGCCTGTGCACCCACCCCCCAAGCCCTCCCCGCGGCCGGGGCAGCTCCGTCAGGCCCCGGCTTTCGGCGTTGGCGAACGGGCCTTTCCACTCCCGTCTGTCTCTCCGGAGCCCCGTGTCGGCTTTCGGTTCCCGGCGTGGCGGGGCGCGAAAGCGCCTCCCCCATTCCTCCACCCCGCCACAAACCTTCCCCCCCCCCCCCCCCGCCCTTTCCCTCCGCTCCCCGCCACGAGGCGCGGGCGGCCCCCGGCCGCGTGTCAGCCGCGGCCCCGCCGCAAACTTCCCCAAACCGCCCCCCCCCCAACACACACACACCCCCCCGTTCCCTCCGCCAAGTTCTCTCCGCGTCCCAGCAACACCGGCACCGGGGCGGGGGGGGCGGAAAATGGATGCGGGGCGGCGGCGGGCGGGCGCGCCGAGCGCGGGTGGGGGCGGGGGAGAAACATGGCTCCTCCGCCGGCGGCCGCCCCGGTTCTCCCCTCAGGCCGCCTCACCCCCCCACCACCCCCCCCCCCCCGCCGCCCGCAGCGCGGCCACTCACCGTCGGCGGGCTGCTGGAAGTTGACATAGGCGTAGCCGAGCGACCGGCGGGTGATCATGTCCCTGCAGACGCGGATGGAGAGGATGGGCCCGGCGGGGCTGAACTTCTCGTAGAGCATGGCCTCCGTCACGTCGGGGTGCAGGTCCCCCACGTAGAGGGAGGCCATAGGGTAGCTGGGGGCGCTGGGGTTCATCCTGCCGCCGTCTCCCGGGCGCGGGAGGGGGGGGGGCGCTGACGAGGCGAGGAGGCCGCGGCGGCCCGGCGGTCCGTGAGGGCAGGGGCCGGCGGTGGCGGGCGGCACTCCGGGGGGGCGGATTCGAAACTTAACGGCTGCAGGAGGCGGCTGCGCGGCGGCGGGTGGAAGGGGCGGGGGGGGGTGGTTTCTGGCTCACTCCGTGCCGGGCCTGGCGGAGGTGGCGGCGGCGGCTGCTGCTGGCCTCGGCGGGGTTCGGGCTCGCGGTGTGTCTCCTCTCGGCTGCGCCGGGTCCGGGGGCTTCGCTTCACCGGGTTATTTTATATCAAACCGGCCGGTTGCAGAAGGTTGACGGGAGGTGGAAGAAGGGGAGGATTATTATTTTTTTTAAAAGGCTTTTTTAGGATTTTTGGATTTTTTTTGGCTTTTTTAATATTTTTAGTAATAAATGGTGCGGCGGGGCCGGGCCGGCGTGTCCGGGTGTCCGGAGCACACGCACTGCGCACACAGCTCCGACGGCGGCCGGGGGACAAGGGGGAGGCCGCCGCCCCGGCCGCGCACTATATATACCCGCCCCGCCCCCACCCGCCCCCACCGCACCGCACGCCACGCACCGACCGCGCGCACCGCGCAGGCGCCGCCGCGGGGGGGGGCGGAGAGACGCGCCGCGCCGGCGCCCGGCCGGAGGGAGACGGCGGCTCTGGCGCATGCGCCGCGGACGCCAGGGGGTGGGAGGGGGGCGGCCGGGAGGGAGCGCGCCTGCGCCTGGCGACGTCACCGGGAGGCGAGGGAAAGGGGGTGGAGGGGTGGGGGGACTCGGCGGCAAGGGCGCATGCGTTTACGGGAGAGCACATGTGCGCGGCGGCGCGGGGGGTCAAAGGGCGCGTGCGCACTGCGCGGATCAACGGGGGAGGGCGGGGTTAGCGGCCTGCGCGCGCCGCGCCACGCCACGCCCCACCCCGCGCGGGGAGCGAGCGGCAATAGGCGGCGGCGCGCGCGCGCGCGCGAGCGGGCGGGCGAGGAAGGTCGCGTGCCGACGGGAAAAGGGCGGGCCCGGACCTCGGCGCATGCGCGGCAGGGCTGCTTCCGCCGCGTGCGCAGGGCGGGCTGGGCCGGGTCGGGCTGTCGTGAGGGGACGGGTCTTCCGCCCCGCGGCCGGGCCCGAGTGCGCCGCTCTCCCTTCCCCGCTCCCTTTCTCTCTCCGGGCCGTGCGGGGCTTTCAGGCTGCCGCGTGGGATAACGGGCGGCCTTCCCGGGGGCGGCTTGTCGGGGCCCCGGCGTGCTTCCCAACGCCTTGCCGCTTCGCAGGGGGGGCGGGAGGGGCTTAGTCCTTGCGGCCGTGCTGTTAAAAGCTAGGGAGCGCTTTCTCCTGCCGGTGCGCAGGCTCAGGCCTCGTTCGGAAGTTTATCTTTTCAAAGCTGACGCGGAGGTTAGGTGCCATCACCTCATGGTCTCAGTATGCTTGCAGCAGCGTTCAAAAGCTTTGTTAGCAGAGTTCAGTTGGCTCACTGGGAGCCCAGCGGTGCCTTTAATTAAACCCCCCGAGCCGTGCAAACCAGGACTACACCTCTTCGGTAGTGTGGATTTTGCTCAAGAAGCAGCGAAAGACTGGAGGAAAATTTGAAGTTGCGTCTCCTGGAGGAGGGTTGTCGATAGACTGACAAAGCTGGGTTTAGTGGAAACGGCATTTAAGTTCTGATCTGCTTGTTCCTTAAGTGTTTTATTGCTGTATGTGGTGTTGAAACATTAAAGTTTTGATTGTGGATTGAAGAGTATTGGGAACTAGCTGACTTTTTGTAATTTTAACGTGTGTGTAAGGTATCTGCCATTATTCAGGGCAGTTTGGGGGCAGGGGGCAATAGAGTCCCATTAGAAGCTTGTTGAGTATCGCGACTTGCACCAAATACAGAATTTTTCAGAGAGAAGCAGCAATCCTGTGGATTTTAGAAAACCTGTGACAAGTATACTGCTGGTTTATTTTTAGTTAGCTTCTCCAGTCCTAAAAAAAGGAAGCCTTTCACATAAAAGGAAAGTATTTTCCTATCTTTTAGAATTCTATGGTCTTTTTATTATGAACTAATTAAATGTATTTCAGATTCTCACAAAAGGAGTAGAATGAAATCAAATGTGCTTCATACCTACTAAACAAATTAGTACAAATGTAAAGCAGGAAGCCAGATCTTAGATTTGCAGAAGTCTTGGAGATAACAGCTCTTTTATGTTTAACATAGTTTTTCTTCTCTGTTTTTTTTTGTGTGTTTTTTTACATAGTTTCAATAGAAAGAGGGCGAATCGGCTGCATTTTCATATTTCGTTTTATTTTCTCATATTTTGTGTCTTGTTATATTTTTCTTTCACCAGCATTTACCATCTCTGGTTTAAATAGAACCATAGGAGGGAGTACTTGTGGAATTTTGCTGTCACATGTGAAGGATTCCACTTGCATTCAGCAGCTGCTGCAGTTTTACTGCCTCTTGTTGGAGGTCACCAAACCCATGGCAGAACTGGCATCTCCCCATCTGTTTCATGGCACAGTATGACATCTTCCTTCAACCCCTATCTGCTGCTGCCCGCCCGCACGGGTGTTTTAAACTGAGCTACTGACTTTGCATTTGAAGCAGCTGGCAAAGGAACACATCCTCTTCTGCTGGCCCTGCTATAGCAGTGGTTACTTCTGTCAGATGAGCAAAACAAACGGCTAGAGTCAACAAACAGTATCTTAGAGTGAGGTGTGATAGGTTTGTTAAAATTCAAACTGTTATTTTTATAGAGGAAAAAAAAATACCTAGTTTAAACACTGGTTTATAATGCCCTCCCTAGGATGTATTCTATACTGTTTCTGCTTTCTCCCTTCCTTACCTGGTTCTGTGCCTCAGCACGTTTCCTCTGCCCAGACTGTCCTTTTTCATACCACTGTTTCTTTCTCATTTCTTTGTCATTGTCACCTGGGCATATTCTTACGTGTTTCTGCTCTTTCACGTGACTTAGGTCATTCCATTTCTGTCCTCAGCGCTCCTGGATGATGGCAAGAAAGACCCCAGAGCATGATAGGGCATTTCTTCTTAAAGTTTTTTTTTTAAAAAAATGTGCAAGGTTTGTTCAGCAGAGAGGGACTTTTTGGTGATCTTGCTATTAGCCTCTTAACAATGTATGACTTTAGAGTATTCTAACACTAAATGCTACTAGCGCAGTAAAAAATCACTCTTAACCCTAGATGGGTATCCATAAAAGTTCAAATTAGTGTTCAAAAGCACTTAAACATGTCTAGTATTTATTTTTTCAGCAAAATAATATGTTTCTTAGGTCTTGTCCCCACAGGTTGCCCTCCTTTTGCTTTGGACACAAGAATGTAATGGTTAGAAAATGTTTTGCTGTCTACTCCCCCTACCCTCCCATACCACCACAAAGTGCTAAATGGGAAATTCAGATAGTCTTTATAAGAGAAAACCCCTTCACAGGAGGAGGGAGGTATAGTTTGCTGATGGTGCCCCAAACAATTATCTTGTCCTCTTCCTATAACAAACATACTGAACTTACTTTTCAAGATGTGAACGAAGTGTTTTAAGGCAACAAGAAAGGATGGGTTTGTGGTTAAGGCATGAGATTTGCATTAGGCTTTAGATTCTGGTCCTGGCAAATTCCGCTAGTCATGTAGGGTTGAATCTCATAAAGGATTTAGATGCTTGTGTGCTTGGTTCTGCCAATTGCCCACCCAGAACCGCAGTCCAGAGCCCTGAGTGAGGTTTGGGGTCCCGAAGGGATCTTGTCAGGAGAGCCCTTGTTAAATGTTACCTGATATTCTCATCTGGGTCTCTCCAAGATCCTTTTTAGCTCTGCTACTCTCAAGTTCTACACAGTGGCTGACAGAAGTTGCTGCAGTCTCGTCAGCTGGGCTTACTGCCCAGACCCAGGGTATGCCCCGTCATTGCAGCTTTTACAGGAGTGGGGCTGGGCCTGGGAGTTGGCCTTCTTAACAAGAAACTGCTGGTTTTTGAAACCCCAGGCTTGAAATTTAGTTGGAAGACGTAACTCTGTTTCCGTTGTCAGCTTCAGGGACTCTAAGCCAAACAGGAATTGAGTGAGGGGTAATAATTCTTTGATTATAAATCTTTGAAGTATTTCGCAATCCAGACAAGATGACTTACCCGATGGACATGTTGCTTTCTTTCAGCTAAATGTTAATATACCTATCAAATAGGAAAAAGAGCAAAGTTTTCACCCAGTATTTTTCACTAACAGCAATTGATTAATATTTTAGAGTGCACAGGTGTTTCCTAAACATAAGTCCTATCAAAGTTAAATAAAGATCCTTTGTAACTTAAAACTCTAAGCAGATACAAGATTTTCCTTTTGTCCCAATGGTATAATGATTTGTGAATGCAATTGTTTTTTTTTTATTCCAGGCTATTATGAAAATGGGGAAGTTACTGAAATGTGTTCAGACTTCAGTAAATTTCCACTCTGTTGCCTAGGAGTTAAAACTTTGATACACGATGGATTGCACTAAACTGTTGGAAATCATGCAAACCCAGCTTTCTAGTTAGCCACAGGAAGCATTTTAAAATTGTACCTGAAAAGCGCTAATAATGAAGATCCTTTTTTTTCTTTTTTAAATTAACGCAGCTGATAGTTGATTTAAAAAAGAAAATTTTATTCTTCAGAATACACACGCTGTGTTTCTGAGTTCAGGAACTGCATGATCTTGTTCGCATCTCAGCTTTTTCTGTTTAGCTACAGAGTAATTCCATATGCTAAAATTGCACTGTGAAAGCTAAAACGTTGAGGGTCTGTGTTAAGGAGATAAGGAAGAACATGTACCTTTTGAAGGGGGGTGTCAGTTTCTTTAAACTGAGTGCCTAGCCGATAACACTCTTTGCTTTTGGTAGCCTACCTAGTCCAGATAGGCTTTCCAGTACTAGATAATCTTTTGAGCAGAGCCAATCCCACATTCTGAGTACTTGGTCTAATAAAAAAATAAAAAGGAAAAAAAAATCTACATCAAGAGCTCTGTATTTTGAATCTTCTTGAATGCGGACAAAAGCAGTTTTGCTTCCTTATTTTTGGGGCTATTTGATGAGTATACTTCACTTATACGAAGAACCGTATGTCTGTTTCCCAGACTGAACTTGTGAAAGAGAAGTCATTTTAGCAACAAACGGGGAAAGAAGTGTCATCCTCAGGCAGTCATGACATGGGGAAGGTAATAGTTTATTACTTTGTAACGTGCCTGAAGCAGACAAAGCAGCAGGTTTGTTCGGTGGGATTGTTTTCTTCAATGCCAAGTATAGCTGAAGGAATGGGAAGGTACTGAGCTGAGTTTGGTCAGGAGTATTGCAGCATTTTTCCCCTCAGGAGTATACTCTGCCTCCCCCTCCTAACTCTAAGAACTGGTGAAGTGTTAAGCCTTGGGAGATGCTGTCGAGGTTGGAAAGGTGGATGGGCAGAGGAAGAGGTCCTGGAGTGGGGGCTGGGGCTGGGCACGGAGCTGTTCCGGGAAGGCTCTGTCTGGGGGAGAGGGACGGTGGGGTGCAGGAGCAGGGGCAGTCGGTGCCTGGCTGTCACCGGGTGCCCTGCGGGACAAGCTCAGCTGCGCCGGGTCTCCTGCTGGTTTTCCTCTCACCCCTTCTTCCTTCCCGGAGAGTGAGCTTCGTGATGTTCCATCCCTGTCCCTAATCCAGCCACCTCCTCTGTCCTGTTCCCTGTCCTCCTCTGCCAGGTGCAGTCTACCCGCCTCGCTTAGAAACCATCAAATTAAGCTATTGTGGAAAACAATTTAGTGTTTATCTTTCCCTCTGCCCTTTACTAGCTAGAATCAGAATTGCCGAACTCTGGGGCTTGCTCCCTTTGTTGGTAGCTACAGATTTCTTCTTAAGACCCGAAGTACTTGAAGCAAAAACATTTGAGTATCATGCAGTTGTTCCTGAGTGTCCTTAAAGTGCCACACAGTGACTGGTAAGTGTTGTATACTCGGGGAAACAGTTATTACTATATTTCTTTGCAAACACATAGATAATGACAGACTGTAGACTGTTAAAGATGCAGAATTGGGGGGGAGGAGGGGGATGTGAAGAGACAGGAAGGAAGCATGGTAAGTGACCTAGTCCATTCTTTCGCCGAGTGGGAACACTGTTATCATCCTGACTGAGATTTTTCAAGCTTTTTGATAGAAATCCTCCAAGGATGGCAATACAGTAATCTTTAAGGCAGCCTGTTCCGGGGCCTTACTCTCCTTAATTTGGAAATTATTTTCCTAATGTCTGACCGAAGTTTCCGTTTTTGCAGTTCCTTCTCATTCTATCCCCAGTGGAAATGCAGAACATTTTTTTTTTTTTTCAATTATTTTTTTTCCTGTAACTACTTTTCTCCTAATAAAGCCATATCTCTCTTGCAGGGTATGCATTGGAAAGTGTTCATACTGGTCTTGTGGAGCTGGCTCAGTGAGTGGATCAGATGGAGTGAGCCCTGGCACCGACAGGTAATCTGTTTTGGATGGGCATTGCTGAATTAGCATGTATTCATGATTTTTGTGCCAGCACGTGCCAATCTGCCACTCCCTATTCCAGAGCCACTATTGCTCTGCCACGTGCACACTGTGTGCATGAAGGGGTGCTGGCCCTTTTGTGTTGTGGGAATTTTGTGTGTATGTTCCCTTTGCAAAAGGCTGATGGTAGTAGCATAAGAGTGTGTTGCCTGAGAGAAAACACGGACCTTCAGTGGACCAGCTGCAGTTCATTCATTTGCCATGAGAACTGGAAGGACCAAATCAAAAAGGATGCTTTGGCCAATTTCTCTACATAAAATTCTTTAGCTGTTCACTATGACTTGAGGCTGCCTGTAGTCAGAACATATATCTCTGTTTCTTACTTCATGGATGATACTTTTTACTAAACTTTTCTCACAGGTCTCAGTCCAGGCCCTTTAACCATTTTATTGTAGCCCTGCCACCTTTGAGTATGTAGCCTGACATCTTTTAACCCAGTGCCAAAACCCTACTGGCTCTGAAATGTCAGCCTGCAGCTCCTCTAGTGCAGCCCTGCAGGCCCTGGCAGCCTGTAACTAATTATCTCAATTCACATGGTGAGCCAAAGAGAAGTGCAAGGACTGTTTGAAAACGAAGTACAAAGAAGAAAAACAAAAGGCAAACCGAAACTGGAGTAGAGTATGATTCACAGACCTGTGTGAAACTGAGCCAGGGAGAGGACAGAGAGAGGCAGGGAGCAGGGCTAAGCTTGTCTCTGTGCGTGGCCACACAGTGCCTCCTGCAGCCTGGTGCTGCTGCACTGGGGGTGGTCTGCGGCGGCAGCGCGGCATGGGGAGGATGCCCGCTGAGGAAAGTGGGTGCAGGGCATGGAGACACAGCTCATGCACAGCGTGAGGTGTTGGCTGGTGACAGTAAGACCTTATGGAACCCTCAGAATGAGAGTCATACTTGAATGAGCTTCCATTGAATCTGTGCTTGAATTGAACTTGATTGAACTCTCACTCCTCACCCTGGTACATGCCTGCGGGCTCCACAGTGCTGCACCCACCTAAGGACCTTGCAGATCCACTTGCCAGGCTCCCCTTCTCCCACTGCCAGCACAATTTCTGTGCTGTGCTCACCTTCCCAGGGTGACTTGAAACCATTGCATCAGTTGCAGGATGGTCTGGGCAAACCTCTGGAGGACTCGGGCACACAAGCTGACATCTGGGACAGGAAGAGACCTGCATAAAGCAGAGAGAAGGATCAAACAGCATTGAAAGGATCTGCATTTTAAAGGAAGTTGTTAGCACGGAGGATGAAGGGGCAGGTGGAAAGCAAGAAGGAACAGATGACAAAATCTCTGAGGTAGCTGTACAAAATGCCATGAAACCCTGGCCTGGACACATAATGCCAGAACCTGCATAAAGCCCTGCTAGTATGAAATAGGAGCATCACAACTGTTTGGACAAATGTGATCCACCGTGAGGAGTTTATATCAGTGAGTGCTTCATGTCACACACTGCTTTTAACTCAACTTTAGTGCATTACAGCTCAGTTTATTGTATCATTAAACTGTGGGCCTCACTTGTGAAAGGAGCCAGCCAGCTTGTCCACAGTAACTCTTCAGTTCAGGTGCATTTTGTGGTGTCTGTGGCTTTCAATGCATTTTGGGTTACAGTTGGGACCCAACGTGGCCAAACCTGGTGTTTTTGGAGAAGACTGGGAGCATGGCCCTACCCAGCTATCCTTTAGAGGGCACTGACTGACTGTTTGTGGCTCCACCGGCGGCTGAACATACCCTGTGACTTCTTGGCACTGATAGGAAGACAATTCCCCTTTCCTGCTCCCTTCTTCCCTTGTCCTCACAGCTTTCTCCCATTCTCCGACCCAGGCACTCTGACCACTTTCCCCTTAAGGGTTGGTTGGTTGCAGGGTTAGTTTTTATTTTTTGCAGTGAGTTAGTTTGGGATGTTTAAATCTGCTCCCAGAGTCAGAGTTGACACAAGATAAGGAGCAAGGTGTGGCCCAGGGACAAAGGGAGACTGTTCCCGTGCTGATAAAATGTTAATTGGACCTTATGGCCTCCTGTGAAACTATGTCCTTTGCAGCACAATTCTGAAGGAATAATTAGCACTAGTTGTTTGGTCACCCTGTTTTACCCAAAAAAGGGGGACACTAGAAGGGAAGGAGAGAGATGAAAGGACTGAAGAGAAAGATGATGTGTCAAGAGGGACTTCAGGCCCTGGGGCTGAAAAATGATCTGATGGGAAGAGGATTTCAATGACTGCCCAGAAGAGGTGGAGCAGACCCTTCTCCAGGGCAAGGGGTGTTTCACCAAGAGCTGTAAGAGGTGCCTAGGGCGGGATTTAATGTTTAACATGTTTGGCTCCTGTCCCCTTTTCTCCTCACAAAAGGGCAGGGCCCAGCTGGTATGGCAAATAGATGTTGGGTTTCTGGCTAAGCATCTTGATCTCTCTGAAGGCCCAAATTCACCCTCCATTGCTGGCACATTATCAGTGTTAGATAAAATACACTTCTTTTTTTTTTTTTTTTTTTCCTGTCTTGTAAGGGCATTGATTTAGACTACCAGAGCTGCCTCCGTCCCTCTTGGCAGGTTAGCTTCCTTCCCCTTGAGCTTCGTACAAGTCTGAAAAGAAACAAACTCAGTGAGTGGAGAAAGAGGAGAGCTGGGCTGGAAACAGAGCAGGACCGCTCCTACCCACCAATATAACCACAAGGCCAAAGGGCCCTGCTGGTGGTGGTCCTTGGCTTCTCAACAGCTTCTCTTCCCAGCTGAGAGGGACTCTGCCCGCCCTGGTATGGAGTCAAACCAGTCCAGTCAGCTGCAGCCCAGGGGGCAGGTAACAAAATGCCAGGTAAAGCACAAATTAGCAATTGATGAAACACTACAAAGGTGAATGATTAAATGGCCAGTGATTCTTAACTGCAGCAGCATGAGCGCAGTTAAACCCAAAGAGAGAGAAAAATGAAATCGAAACAGCTACTAAAGATATCATTGCAAAAACAATCCAAAGAAATACCGTGTGATTATTGGAAAAGGAACTGTCTTTTCCTGCGCTGCAAATTGCTGCTTTTAAAAAGCATCAGGAAACAAGCTGTTGAGTGGTGGAATGGATAAAACCGGGTTCCCAACCTTCCCTGAGTTGCCCTGGCCCACTGAATCTCACTGCCAGTGATGCTGCTGCTGCTGGGCCAGGGGCAGGTGGTGGCGAGGCCGCCCCAGCTGTGCCCATGTGCTGAGGGGTGATGGGTGCATGTGCCCAGTGGCACGTCGTCTGCCATCAAACCAAGCTCCTACCAGGTGAGCTCGGCCTCCCTTTCCGTGAACAGGGTCACCGATGTGGGTCTGTCTCTCTCTTTTCCAGTATATCTGAGGCATCTCAAGCTAAAATTGATGGAGGTTACTTGGGGATACTGGGAAAAAATGGGCAGACAGATCTCAAGATTATACAAGCCTTTATGAAATGCAGACTAAAAATGAATCCAGAGTTCAGAAAAGTGATGAGTGGCTCTGGCTGTTGCAGGGTGCCGGAGACTGAGCCACATAGGTGAGCTCTGTGGCACAGAGGCACCCAGCACCTTTGCCAGGCGTGACACAGAGCTGGGCATGCAGCACTGGAAGGGATGTCCAGCCAGCACAGGGATGGCCACCCTGGTGCAGATTTTCACCTGATGGGAATCTGCTGCTGCGGCATTCTCTTGCTCTCAGCCTGGGCTGTGCCTCCTGCAAGGTATGAAGGTGTTCCACGGGTCAGATGCCCCAGTGCTGACAGCAGGGATGCTGGGGTACTTCACAGGACTTGAGTGTGAAAGTCTTCGGGAACATGCTCTTTGGTTTGGATAGGGAGAAGTGCAAAGGCAAACAGGGCTTTGTTAGTCACAAGGATCTGGCTTACACATGGATATAGACTGGTTTCTATTAGTTTGCTTTGGGGTTTTTTTTTATGCCAGGTATTTTTCTCCATAAGAACAAGCTCGTTTCACCTGTCTGCACCTTCCAGCTCTGCTGCTGATACTTCCATGCTCTTTGCCTGTGGTGCACGCTGCATGGCCATGAATAAGCAGATATCAGTACTGTGCACTGGCACACTCCCAAGGGATCGGCAGTAAACAGTGAGCACAGTGATCCAAAATCATCTTCCATATCATGTTAGCAAAGTACAAAGCCCAAGGGCACTGATGCTAGCGTAGCTGAACAGAGAAGACTGAGCGAACTCTAACTCCTCTGTGTCTTTTTCTGACAGCACTGCCCTGTGGGGCTCACACCAGTTTTGTTCATCAGTCCCTGGTGCTGCAGCCAGCTTTGCCTGGTAGCAGCGCAGCCTCCCTGGGGTGAAAAGGAGGATAACAACAACCTGCACCTCCTGCAACAGTACCGCTGCAGCCAGGCTACTGAGCTTCAAAACCAAGTTATTGCTGGCTTAGCTGTTTTGCATAAAAGCGATCCCCCTCCTCATCTTTGTAAGACCTGCTCAGACTTAATGGCTCAATTTGTCCACGGAGGCATAGCCAAGATGTTGCCAGGTTATAATCCAAAAACTTCCCAAATCCAGGCAGAAGTCATCGCAAAAATTGCTACAGAAACTAAGGAGAACCGCTCTTTAGGAGAAGTATCCACAGCTGTCCCTGGGAATGTAGAGCTGAAAGACAGGGCTGGCTTCCCAGGGCTCTTCATTATCACTTTCTGAGTAATCCTGTCAATTTTGAGAGTGAAAACAGTCCTGTATTCTGCTCCAGAAGGACCAACCCCAGTGAGGCACGAGTGTCCCAACACAGACTACTCCACAGGAAGTTCTGCTGCTAATTATTTTGGCTTTCCTGATTTTCTGTGTAATTCTATGTGTTTGCCCCATCTTCAGTGCTTTGTGATAGATGAAGCCTTCTGCCACTGTAACCAAACGGTGGCTATTTGGGGCTGGGGCACCCTGGTGAAAGACTTTCTCTTCTGCATTTTGTTATCTTGGAAAGGGATTTACCTCCACCTTGTACCTGATGTCCTGTACCTGTTGCCCATCTCAGCACTTTGATTTTCCTGCCTATCCCCTTCCCACCGTTGTTCTTATTGCAGGGCCTCCATGAAAGCCAGCATTTTTGTAGCCAGGATTTACCCACTAATTCCCACTACCAGGAGCAAACAGGGGCCCTGACATGTATCACTTGGTCTATCAGAAAGCAGGGTTGTATGGTGAGAAACCGCAGAAAGCAGGAATAGGCAGCCAGTTGTGCAACTCCCTTCCCTGAAGGCAAGAGTTTACCGTTACCCTAAACAGAGCGAGCCAGAGCAGCCAGGCACCCTGCACTCCTTCCACGCTGCTATCCCCTGGCTGTGCCACAGGGGAAGAAAACATGGTGGAAGGAGATTTTCTGGAGATACTGAGCCCTGGCTAAGGCAACAGGCTGCTGGTACGTAGTGCAGGCAGGGCACAGTCTTGTGCCATCTCTGAGCAACACGCAGAAAGTACTTGATGCCAGCCAAAGGGCCATGGGGAGAGCTGAACCCCACTGCCCGGGTGGGTGAAGGTAAAACCCCTCACTCAGCTCCCTGCCAGTGCTGCTGCTGGGAGAGGGGCTCTCTGCAGCCTCCCTTTCCTCCCCCTGCACTGCTCACACCACAGGCATCTGCAAATTGCTTTTCTTCATCTTTCTTTTCCCCTTTGCAAGATGGTCTGAAGAGAAGCCTCACCCAAGAGTTTCCTGTTTCAGTTACCTTTTTAGTTGTTTTGTTTTTTTTTTTTTTTTTGTTTTTTGTTTTGTTTTTTTTTTTTTTTTAAATTTCGTTATTGGGTTGTCTGTTGTTCAGCTTCCTGCCAAATCCCTGGCTGTCTGCTCGGGCTGTTTGGAGCCCCTTGGTCACTGCCCCACTCTGCTGTCACAGAGGTTAGTGGCCAGGATGTGGTTGCAGAACCTGAACCACCAGCTCTCAGAGCCCGTCAGAGCTTCCCGTGCCCCAGCCCTTCACCTGCAAGCAGCTACCAGGCCAGTGGTTTTGAGCCACAGCCTATTTTTTAAACATTTCTTACTGTCATTGTGGAGATTCTGCATTTCTTTCTCAGTCACAGGAAATCAGCTTTGAAGACAAAATGGGAGCAGGGAGGTCTGAGGATGGTCTTACATTTGGTGCAGAACATCCCATGTCCCATCAAGGGGCTGGAGCACACGCTGCCTCCTTGTGCTGGTCACGAGCTGGAGCGTGCCACCATCCTCACCCAAGGATGATTTCCATATTGACTAGCTGTAGGTATCACAACTAACATGTCAGCGAAGGCATCTGTTGGCAATAAGCTGTGTTCTGTATTTCTGGCCCCGTTACCTTTTCTTTTCTGGAGTGGCAGGCAACCTGCCAG